GGGGGAAGAAGAAAGGGGGCCTTACGATTAACATGTATAGTGTGGGGGGGGCACGGGGAGGGCTGTGCAACACAGAGAAGACAAGTAGTGATTCTATAGCGTCTCACTACACTGATGGACAGTGACTGTGAATGGGTATGTGGGGGGGACTTGGTGAAAGGGGGAGCCTAGTAAACATAATGTACTTCATGTAATTGTAGATTAATGATACCAAAATAAAAAAAATTTTTTTAAAAGAATTCAAATCAATTTCTTCCACAGATTCCTGACCCATTGGTAGAAAAATCAAACTCAAATCCAAAGTAAAATAAACAACTAGGAAAGCATCTGAAAAGTCAGCTGTTTCTCCAGAAATAAAATATGTGGTCTGGAGATTCAATTCCACAGGTCAAATGGCAAATCAAACCCAAAATTCTGAATGGAGGCACCAGGAAACATGACAAAAAGATGTGCCCATGTTCGGGTCCTACCAGAGGTCACCCACGAACTCCACAGTCACAGAAACTGGGGGTTTTGCCTCCCCTAAAGCTGCTGGATCTGCTCGCTGCCGTCTCTCCAAGCTGATGGTAAACTTCTGTCCTTCACAGTGTCGCCCGTGGCCCCCGGATCATGTGTCCGGCTCCCATCAATAACAGTTAATAAAATGGAAGCCTCTGCGATCACAGGGCCTACAGCTCGCGGTCCCTCTTCTTGAATGGAATAACCCCGTACGCCGTAGAATCATGTTGTGTTGACTCATCTCTTGCTGGGCTGTGACCTCCCCTGCGAGCAGGGGCTACGTGCATGGATCACACAGCAGGTGCTCAGTAAGTACCTCCTCGGCGCCCACAGGAATAGCTCCTCAGGAAGCCCCAGCTGGACAGTCATGCTGCGTCCACACACAGTTTCCAAGCTTTTCATGCCAGCCCAAGAGATTACTTGTTTCTTGCTGGAAGTACTTAAGGATCCTGCTTAGAAGCAGATATCCCACGGATTTTGTACCATGATTTCATTTAGAAAGTTCAAACACCTCACAACAATGCATTTGAAAATTGAAATATGAATAAAACTCTTGTTAAGTCAAAAAAAATCTTTAGCCCCAAAGCATGTCTGAATTAACCAAAATAGGGGGAATATGAATGAATATAGCATTACTGTGACACCATATACCAGCATCTTATTCTTCTGGCAATAATACCAAAGAGAAATAATGTCCGCTTAAAAATATTATTTTACCATCAGTATAAACGCATAATTGTCAATGTGAAAAAAATTATATTATCCATAATTCTACACGTTAATACAACCAGGAATGGTATTTTGCCTACTTTCTTCTAGTTTTTCCTGTAAATGTTAAAAACAAACCAAAGCCCATCACTTTAACTTAAAATTTTATGTATCCTACCTTTATATAAAAACAACATATACCAAAGGCAGTTTTCCACATTGCTGTATTTATTATATATGTATTCAACCTATACAGTCAACAGATATATGTTGAATGGCCATTTAACAGTCAGACAACTATTCCAATTTGCTGAACCATTTCCCTACTCCTGGATTTTTTTCTTGGTTTTAATTTCTTTCTCTGTAATAAATAAGACTGCAGTAAGCTTTCTCATGTATAATTTAGTGTAATAGCATGTTGTAAGCTTCCCATAATCAGAGGCTGGAGCCCTCTGTTTAGAGAGAAAATTGAAAATGTGACTCCTGACCTGGCCTCTCAAATTCAATCAAGATGGGGCTATTGAAGTTTTACTAAATACACAAATTTTCCCAAGAATGCAATATTCATGACCGGGCTTAATAGAGACCCCTCTCTACCCTCTTGATTCAGGGCTTTTCATTTCCCACAAGCTCCTGTCCCTTCCACTAAGACAAAAAAATGATTGCAATCCAAACGAGTGCTTTGTTGGGGGCATGGGAGTGGGCATCCCAGGGAAGGGTCTCGTCACTTAGCACAAAGAACCCCAAGATCACTGGGTAGTTGTTCATCCCCATGCCAATCTGTATTAAGTGAGCATCTGGACCCATTTGAAATGGATTCCTTAAAGGCTTCTGTTCATTATCCGGTTTACATTCAAGGCCTTTAACTAGCGTTTTCCCAAAGGCCACTATTTAAGCAGGAATCTCCTTCCGGAGAAACGGACCTGGCAAGTCATCAGGGATCCCAGCCAAGGCGCTCTGGCGCCCAGTAGGACAAACTCCTCACCCTCACTTTGCCCTTTTGATTATGCGCACACAGACACACGCGTAGACACACACAGAGACGCTCACACACAGACACAAACACATGGATACACACAGACACACTTAGACAAACACACGCATACACACACAGACAGACACGAACACACACAGATACACACAAACACACACAGACACTCAGAAACAAACACAGACTCTGAGATATAAACATGTGCACAAGAACAAACACACCCTGATGAAGGCGCACACTCGCTCAGACATTCTGCTCAGGGCACAGAGGTTTAAGCAATGACTCACCTGTTCCGCAGGCAGTCTGACCACCTGCCACCCGGGTCCTGCAGGGCCCCTCCTCAGTCCCCTTCCTCCCTCCTGGCCTGAGGCAAGGTCTGCCTCCCTGCGCAGGTGGGGGCCCTACAGGGACTGGCGGAGGCCCTGCTCACACAGAAGCAGCAGCCCCCGGCCAAGGCAGTGCCCAGCCCCCAGACTCCTGCTTCCTGGGAGGCTCCTGGGCAAGGTCCACCGCAGGCATGCAGTCACCTGGGGCAGGGGCAGGGCGGGAGGCTGGCCCACAGAGCAGCAGTGCCGCAGCACCTGAGCGCCAGCGGAAGTCACACGGTCCTTCCCCAGGGTTGCCCGCCTGCCGAGGTTCTCAGCTTTGTTATGGGTCGCATTTCAATGTCTCCCTCGGCTCCTTCCTCATTTCTGAATGGATATTTGTTGCACTTGAAACCAGCAGCCCAGGAGAGAAGGAAGCCATAACAGTTGGGGGCCAGTTCTCCCAGGGCCCTCTGCCTGGAGCCAGAGGCCAGCAGGAGCGGCTAGTCCTGGTCAGATGTCTGGAGCCCAGCAGGATGCCACCGGAGGCTGCATCCCCCAGTGCCCTCCTCCAGCTTTGTCACCCTCCATCCCAGCAGTGCCTGCACGGGAGCGGGGGTCCGGGAGCGCGACAGAGGGAAGGCACTCCCATCCCCCCTGTCACTGGGAGATATCTCCCTGGTCCCCCTGCACCCTGTGGGGTGCTGGGGTCTTATGCTAGATGGCGTTCTGCGTAGGTTCCCTCAGGGACTCCCACACCCTTCAGTCCCAGGTTCTCTCTGCTTCACCCCCACCTCCCCTGGGGCAGGTGGATCCTTCCTCCGTGCCACCATCTCCTCTGGGGTGTGGCTGCCTCCCTGGATGGTGCCAGGGTCACTCCGTCACTGTGCAGACCCAGAACCCCTCTCCCATCTTGAATGGCGTCCCCATCCCCCACCCGCCCCAGGCCGGGGACCGCAGGTCTGAGTGACAGTGCGTGCTGCTCTGCCTGTGACCCCGAGGGTGGAGGGTCCAAGCATGAAACAGATGAACATGCTTTTCTCTTTTAACATGGGTGGGCTTCTCCTCGTTATTAAGAAGCATCAACCTTTCTGCAGGTTGCACAGCAGAAGGGCACAAAACGGGAGGGAGTTGTAAATACCATTTTATGGCAGGAAAGCAAAGAGACAAAGTAGTTAATAACCAGTCTTACATCCAAAATGGGAGTTTTCACCTGCGCAGTCAGAAAATAGGTTTGAAAGCCAGGTCCTGTCCACAGGAAAGATTTCTGGGGTCCATTAAGCTCCCATAGATTACGTTAAGGAGGGACCTAAATGGAGGGCAGAGGAAGGGACTGGGCGAAGAATGGGGACTCGGGGTCACATGCTCACAGCCACACATATGCCTTTCCCGCCAGGTCTCAAGGGTGAGGAGGCTTGCAAAGACTGAGGAGATCTCCGAGGAGCCCGGGAGCCCCGAGGCCAGCACCTCCACATATGCCCGAGGGGAAGGTGGAAACCCCTAGAAAAGCCCTCATCCCGTCCCAAACGTCCCATACGTCCCCTACCCCACTGCCCTGAGGCCACTGGCCACACTCCTGGGTCACCAGCATCCACCTCGGAGAGGAGCAGACGCAGGAAAAAGGCGTCCAAGAGGCCAGGCGTTCCCCCGCCTCCTTACATCACTGCGGGAGAGCAAGCCACTGGATCGCGCTGAAGGTGAGCATCTCCGCCTCAGCTTTCCGGTAGAGGAGGGCTCGCGGAGAGGTTCTCGTTTATTAACACGAAATAAAACTCCACTAAGAATCCTGTGACTTGTGGCCCCAGAGAGCTCAGGGATGGACAGAGGAAAGAGCCCAAGAGTCATGGTGCTCAACACCACACCTCCATCAGCCCCCGAGTGGGCAGAGCCTCTGGGCCTGTGCACTGATCAGCAGGCGTGTAACAAGCTGCCACAGACAGGCTCACAACACACACTCACTATTTCACAGTTTCTGTGGGTCAGGGGTCTGGGCACAGCTCACGGGGTCCTCCGCTCAGGGTCTCACAAGGCTGCTGTCAAGGCGCTGTCCTTCCCGGAGCCCGAGGTCCTCTCCGAGCTTGCCGTGGCTGTGGGCAGAGTTAGCTCCTTACTGCTGTGGGACTGAGGCTCCATTTCCCTGCTGGCGGCCAGATCTGCGCGCAGCTCCTAGAGGCCACCTGCTGTTCCTGTCACGTGGCCCCTGACAGCCCTCTCACACGGGGCAGGTTGCTTTGTCAAGGCCAGCAGGAGAGTCTCTGATTCTAGACCCTCTTTCAAATGGCTCGCCTGATTAGGTCAGGCCCCCAGGCACAATGTCCCTTTGCATTAACTCAAAGTCAGCTGATGAGGGAGGGACCTTTGCTACATCTGCAAACCCCCTTCACCTTTGCCATCACACAGCCTCATCTCGGGAGTGACGTCTGTCAGATCTACATCCCTGGGCACACGCAAGGGGAGGGGATTATATCCGGTGCAGACACTAGGAGCCGAGAGTCTTGGGAACCACCTAGAATCCTGCTTACACCAATGTCTGAACCAAAGTGCACACACGGAAGCCACGCCCACCCAGGTGACGTAAAGCAAAAGCTGCCCCTCAGCACACTGCTGCTGGATGGCAGGGAACCCAGCTGACCCCAGACAACAGGACCTCTTCCCACCTTGCAAGTCCCAGAGGCACTGTGAAAGTCTAGAAGCCAGACAGCAGGGAGGGCCTGGGGGGGCTCCCACTTCTCTGGTCCGTAGGGTTACCTGCACAGCCCATAACCTGTAACAGGCAGGATCCTCCCGCTGGGGCCTCAGCAAGTCACTCCCCTTCTTGACACCTGTGTCTCCTCACCTCCAAGGTGAGGGGCTGGACCAGATGGCCCCAGACCCCCCTTTCACCTCTGGCCTCTACATTAAGACCTCACCACAAAGCTCCACTGTGAGAGAGCCCCGGGCACTCACGTTCCAGTTGGAGGCGTGTTCCCACGGGGACATGTGGAGTCAGGCCGAGGCTCCCACCAATGCTCTGCAGGAGGATGGAGCCTTAGAGCACGCCGCCCTGCTGCACAGACCCACAGGAGCCTGGGACTGTGCATACCGGGCTCATCATTGCCGGAAATCAGTGGAAATAAAATGTAAGCGATTTACTTACATGACCTCAATATTGTCTTTATAGGGTGCACCAACTTTTAACTTTCTTCCTTGGCACTTCATCAACTTTTCTGAATTGGCATTAACAGGGGCAATGTCCCTCATGCCCCTTAATTGGGCCCATATACAAGCAAGCACACTCACATGCACATATTTCCCTTAATGCAAAATTATAGAATTTTGGAGCCAGAAGGGATCCTGGGGCTAATCTGGTCCAAGCCCCAGCCAGCGTCTGAGGAATCTCTGTAACCCCCCTGCCAAATGATTCAGTCTCTGCTCAAACACCTTCAGTGCTGGGGGATTTCCAGTCTGAGGCAACCAGGCAGGGGGTTCCTTTCCACCCAGATCAGCCTTTCATACCTTTCCACCCATTTGCCCCCCTGGGTCACTTGGCTAATTCCTGACCAGCTGCTGCATACACATTTCTGAGGTTTCTGCCAGCTGCCCGCCAGATCCTCAGCCCCTTGCTCCTGATGAGGAGACCCTGGGCATGGCTCAGACTGTCCACGCGGCTCCCTTCAGTAGACGTGCCCTGCGACCCTCCTGTGGGAACTTCCAGAGGGCAGGAGGCCCCCCTTCCCCCTGGGGCTTCCCTGCCCCAACTCGTAGTATCACACCAAGCTGGTAGTTTGATAGGTATCTGAGGTACAGATCTTCCGGGATATTCTTATCTCCTCAGGCCTTGGAGATAAGCAGGAACGGTCACCTGCCTCACCTGGACAGCTTCACCCTTTCTTATCTCAATGGAACATTCCATCAGGGACTTCTGAACACCAGGTTACATTCCTCAGCTCAGCAATCAGGTTGGGGTTTGGCTGCCTACCAGGCTGGGCAGAGCAGAGGGCAGTCAAGACAAGTCCTGCCCAGAGGTGCCCAGCGGACTCCCAGTGACAGGCGGCCGCCCAGGGTTCCTACCCACTCCCACAGGGGCAGAGGGCGCAGGCCACAGGCAGGGCTCACCTGGCAGCACAGGAGGGGAGGGGCTGGGGCAGGCTCCTCCCAGGAGGGGGTAGGGGATGTGCCTGGCAGCCTGGGGAGGAGGGGCCTTCTGAGCCCCGGAAGCAGCGCTGTACAGAAAATCGCAAGCGGGAGGGGTGTGAGCTGCGGGTCTGAGTGAGATGGGAAACCAGACAGCTTTTGAGCAGAGGACGTTGTTGTCTGACTGGCATTCGCAGAGTCGCCTCACTGCAGCTTTGAGGGGAACAAGGTGGGTGCTGACAGGCTCATCAGAAGGCCCTGCGTCACCCAGGCCACAGACGCCCCGGGTGTAGACCAAGGAGTAGTGCTGAGGAGTGGTCCGGGTCAGGATGCGCTCTGAGGGTGGGGCCAGGAGAACTCCCTGAGGGATGCAATGTGGGGTGTGAGAGGAGTGGAGATGCAGATGACCTGGGGTTTCGGCCTGAGCACAAGACAGATGGAGTGGCCATCAGCCGAGATTGGGAAGGCCCCAGCTGGAGTCTGGGCATGGTAAGCTGGGAAGCCCACGGGGCACTGAAGGGGAAATGTGCGGGGGGCTGTCTGGGGCAGGACGGGGTTTGCTAGATACCTGAGGTTCGGGTGTTCCAGGATGTTCTCATCTCCCCAGGGCAGCCAGGCCTGAACTGAGTGGAGAGCTGTCACCCCCGGAGTCTGCTCCGCATCTCCTGTCAGCCGCTCTGCGTCTCTGTGCTCAGAGCAGCCCATAGTTCTGGCCCTGACGAGGGACTAGCCCTGCACGGCTGTTGGCCGCATGAACGGAAGGGCAGCTGGCCAGTGTCTTGTTGAGCAGACCCTGTGTGTGCTGCCCCCTGATGTGGCTCGGTGATTCTAGACCCGTGTGGGGTGTTCCCAGAACACGGGTTCTATGCCCCGATGGGTTTGGAATGACCCCTCCTTGCCACCCCACTTGGAGAGTCACTGCACATTTGCAAATAAAAGACCTCAGGAAGTCCTACAGTGGTACAATCTGTTCAACTTTATTTAAACCAGCATTTCCCAAATTTACTGGAACCAGCATTTTTCGTGGGATGCTTGTCATTGTGCCCTGGAAATAGGGGGTCAGAACATGCACATGGGGGACCCCTGACCTGGTACCAGTCCCTCTCCTGGGGGCACTCTCTGACAGTGTGTCCTGCCCTGGGGCTCTTTGTGCCGCTTAGGAGCCAGTGCTGAGAAAGTCCTCCCTCCCACTGCACTAGGGACCCAGCACCAGGCCTGCTCCTGTGCCCTCCTAACCCTGAGGGTCCTTCTGCCAAGCCAATGCCCCTGACTTGCGCTCTGCACACTTTATCGATGCCCCACTTAAATTTACTGCCAGAACTACACCAGACTCCCGGGAGCTGGCTGACCAAGAAAGGACGAATGGAGCTCACCTATCATTTCTCTTGCACCATAGATTTCAAAACTCCTTCATTAAGAAATTGCCAAAACCCTTCCCCAGACTGTGCCAGAGATCTCCAGGGCCCCCACATAGAAATACCATCAGGGAGCTTACTGGGTATAGAGGCGGTCAAAGAAAATATCACAAAGTTAGATAATAATAGAAACATTGAATTATTCACACCAGCGCTACAATAAATGTTGCATTAACAGTACCTGGACAAGCCCCTGGGAGTACAAAGGATAATTAGAATCATTAAAAGTGCTCGGCACCTGCCACCCTGGCCCCCACAATGGCCCTGAAATGCCGTGGCCACATCGAAAGACGTGCCCATCCAGAAGTCAGGTAAGTGAAGGCAGGTATTCGATCTGCTTCCATTGACCTGTCTTCCTCCCGGGTTTGCTGTGAAGGATTCTTCTCCCTAACGTCTGCGGCCTGAGGAGACGGTACGTTCCCCAGAACACAGCAGGGCTCAGGACACACCTTCCCAGGAGGCTGAGCCAGGGGAAAGCCCCACAATGGAAGATTCTGGGCACCAGGACTACGGAAGCCCTAATAGCCACAGAGCTGCAATGGACGAGAGTGAGAAGTGGTCTTCCCAGTGTGCTGGGAAAGCTTCCGCTTCACCTCCGACAGCGCCAGAGGAGAGCCGCGCGCCTGTTCCCAGAGGACGTCCAGTGAATTCTCACTGAGCTGGTGAAGGAAGGAATGAATGGTGGGTAAGTGAAAAAAAAGTCAGGCTTTGCACCTGAAGCATGGCCTAGAGGAGGATTAAAGGGCCTTTGAACGATGGGTGGATGGTGCACTGCACGATCTGAGTGTGCTTCATTTTGGTGGTTTTCCCCACAATCCATTCATCGACCACCCAGGAAGACAAAAGCAAGATCTTGCCCAAGACTGGGAGGCAGAAGTTACTGATACACATGCACACAGCGTGCTCACGCCCACACAAGCATGCACACAGCACACCCAAGGATGGGGGCCTGGACCATCTCTTCCTTGCTGTCCTCTCAGCTGGGCACTGGCACGTCTCTCTCCCCTTATCTGGGCCGTCCCTCCTTCCTGGGATCAGCCGTGGCCCATCCTCAGCCCAGCCCCTGCCCATGCCCCCCAAGGCCGGAGGCCCTGCTCCTGGGAACACTCTTGTCTCTGTACCATGGGCAGCCATGGTCAAGAACCAAGGTCTGGTGCTGAGCAAGGATCCCAAGGCCCCTCCTCAGAGTGACAGGACGAGTCCTGGGAAGGACACAGAGATGGTTGCAGGGGGAAAAAAACATGTTCCCTCGACCCTTCTGAGTTCTTGGCTGAGACCCCTGTAATGAAAGACAGACGCAAGAGGAAAACAACAGTTCATTACACGCACGTGTGCCTACTGTATCGGGGGGTGCCCAGGACAAATGGAGAACTCCGCAGGTGGCCTAAGCCACCAGCTTAAACACCATCTTGGCTAAAGCCAAGAGGCAGAAAGGTGTGGGGGGTCCATCCCGGGAGGGGAGCCCCCAAGGCCCAGGCTGCCGGGCAGCCTCCAGCAGGGCCGCTCCCACGTGGGGCTTCTTCGATTTGGACTCGTCTAGTGCTGGGGCGGGGAGGGAGCCATCCAGCGCAGGGAGATTTCCCTTGTACCTCTTACAAAGGCGAGCTTCTCCTGTTTGCTGAGCTTTTCCTGTGTCTGCTGTTCCTCAGTCAGCTAGAGGAAGCCTCGTGGCACATCTTGCCGCCCTTCATGGTTTAATATCTGCGCCCTTCAGGCAGCGAAATCGCGGCCGAGGGGCCCATGCGTGCCGTACAGCCCCCCCACCTTGGCTCGGCTCTGCCACAGCTGCTTCCCGTGGGAGTAAGTCGTATCCACCAATAAAGAAAGTGTCCTTCCTGATTTTCCCAGAGAAATGCTCTATTGGGACTGAGGAGGAATGTACTCAACTCATGACTGCTTTGCAGCCTTGGGACCCACTGGAGACAAGAACCAGCTCCTGGCACCTCCGTCTCCTGCCTGCACTCACTGCATGCAGCAGGCGCTCTCCTGTGCACTGACTGACAGGGTGCCACACTCTGCCAGGTACTCTACGGGGTTGTTATTTCATTTGACCATCCCAGGGATCCTGTCTTGAGCTGTGATTACATTTTTCTGTGAATAAGAAAAACACTTTATAGGAAGAAAACCATACAGTCTTTGTTCAGCTTGAGGCAAAGCCGAATTTTATAAACTGCTTGTAGCAAATTTATAAACTGTTCTTTGTCTGGGGATGTGGAAATAAAGAATTCAACTTGAGCACAGGATGCAAATGCGTAAGGGGCAAACTATTTTCCTATTATGTTCCTAAGATAGACTGGACACTGGCACGGAGTGCTGCATCTTGGCCCAGAACCCTCGCACACTGTTAAAACTGAAAGTAAAGCCAGGCAAAGCATAGGGCCCTCTAGAATGTTTTCAATTGTTCGGTGCTATCATAACTCGGATACATTTCCAGCGATTTTCTCACAAAAGAACCCTCAGAGCATTATTCAGCATAACAAAATCTTGGTGAAATGTTTGTGCTATTTAAAATTGGCAAATTGAGGACACACAGTACTTTTTAAAGCCACTGCTAAAGATATGGCAAGCATCATCCTATAATAATGACAAATATCTGAAACATCGGAGCTAAATTTCTGCTTCGGAAGATTAGGATTAAGGAATTGATACGGTCGGTGTTTGCTCAGCGGTACAGCGACCCCTCCAGGGGAAAACTGTGTCAGTTAACGGCCCACATCGCAGTGGGGAAGCGCCCCGACTTCCCACTCAAAACCCCTCCCCAGCTGTAGGGGTACATGCAAACTGTTCAGGCTGCACAGGGACCAGTCCACAGCTAAGATCACTGGGCCATACCAAGAGGAAGACAGCAGTGAATCCAAACAGCCCCCAGTACCCCGGCTGTGCCCTCTAGGTTATAGATGTATAGGAAAAGTTATAGGGAGAAGGACCAGGGGACACAGGATTAACTGCGGGGATTGGGGAGGGAGTGAGCTCCATAACTCCTCCCCCACTGGCAAGATGAGCAGACCTGGGCTGTGGGCAAATCACCTCCTTATCCTGGTGTCCTGAGGTTACCTGTGGTCCTTCACAGGAAGACAACTGGGGCTTCTAAGACTGCACAGTAAATGGTAGGGGGACAGAGATGCAGCTGCTCCAGCTCCTAACTCACCCGGCAAGTGGGTATCAAATGTGCTGAACACCAACTATCCCTTCATGGCACCTATTTATCCAGCATCTCCACATCCCAGAGGAAGTGACGTGTATAAGGGAAGTGCTAGGTGGTCCTTTAAATCCCAATCCTTTGAAAGTCACTACATTAGAACCACAAGTTTAACTGGATGCCTAAAGGGCAGATGCTTTCTTCTGCTTGTATTTTCATTGGCTTGGTTAGTTTCCCATCACCATTTTAAAAAATACTCCTTTTCCTTATTGAAGCATAATTTGCAGGAAAGATGCACACATCTTAAGTGTGCATGCACTTGTACGTGCATGCAGGTATGCAGCGTGCACACATTCTATGAGCTGACAAATATGTATGTGCACATAACGTAGGTGACCCACTGGTCCCAGCCTTCTTGGGACTATCCCTGTTGTAACTGAAAGTCTGACGCCTCGGAAAGCCCCTTGTTCCCAGGTCAGCCTGGATGGCGGGTGACCCTACATAGCAACCACCTCACTAAAGATACAAAGCATCGCCATCACCCAAAACAGGCACCACACCCACCCTCCAAAGACATGCATTGTGACTTCTATCACCAGCTTATTGTCACCTGTTCTAGAATTTTATATGTATGTTTTAGTGTTAGCTTCTTTCACGCAATGTAACTTTTGGAAGACTCATCCGTGTTGCTGCCTATCGCAGGGGTTTGTGAGCCCCTGTTACTGAGTGGTACTGCATCTCGTGATGGACATTGGGCTGTTTTCAGCTTTGGGCTATTATGAACATTCCTGCACATGTCTTTCTGGGGGCCTGTTCTTGCTTGCCTTGGGTAAATACCAAGGAGTTGACTGACTGGACCTAGGACAGGTTATATTTCAAGGAACCTCCCAAAGAGCATGCCCAAGTGGCTGCCCAATCCCGCCCTCCCACCAGCACTGCGCAAGAGGTCCAGTTGCTCAACACCCTCACCCACATGTGGTCTTGTCGGTCTTTCTGGTTGCACACCCCCGAGTGGGTGTGAAGTGGTATCTTACTGTGATTTTACTTTGTCTACCCCTGCCGATCAGGGGGCTGAGCACCCTTCCCTGTACTCTCGGGCCACCTGCGTGCTGTCTTACACAAGGTTCCTGTTCGTCTTCGAGTCTCTCGGCCGCTACCTAAACAATGTGTTTGTCTTCTTAGTCATCTGTCAGAGTCTTTTTATATTCTGGAGAGAAGAGATTCAGCACATCTACGTCTCATGGATATTTTCTCTCAGTCTGTGGCTTTGTTTTCATTTTCATAATGGAGATTTTACATAAGCAGAAATGCTTTATTCTTAATTTTGATGAAGTCCCATTTATCAGTTTTATATTTGGTGATTAGTGCTGTTTGTATACTAAGAAATCTTTGTCTACCCAAGGCCTCAAAGACATCCTTCTATATTTTCTTCTAGAAATTTTATAATTTTTGCTTTTAAGATCAGGTCTAAAATTTATGATTAAGTACTGTGTATGTTGTTAGGTAAAGGTCAAACTTTATTTTGTCTATGGAGATCCAGTTGTTCTGGCTACACTTATTAAAATAAAATACTTTCCTTTTTCCATTGAATTATCTTGGTGCCCTTGTCAACAATTAGTTGCCACTGTGGTAGCCTGAATCCCCAGAATCTGGATTTTGTCTGTCTGTCTTTTAATTGTTTTTTTTCTGTCTGTCTCTCAGTTTGGGTAATTTAATTGACTGCTCCTCCAGTTCACTGATCTTTTCTTCGGCATCACCCCAATCTATTCTTAGTCTTACCCAATGGATTTTTAATTGCAGATATTGTATTTTTCAGTTCTACAATTTCTGTTTGGTTCATTTTTAGAGTTCCCAAATTTTGCCTGAAATTCCCTGTCTCTTTACCTATTATATCTAGCTTTCTCATAGTTATTTTATACTACTCATCTACCTTCAACATCTAGGTCATCTGTGAATCTTTTCTGATTTTTTTTTCCTCCTATGAGTTTCATTTTGTTGATTCTTCTGATGTCTAGTAATCTTTATTGTATCCTGGACATAGAAGCCAATACACTCTATAGACTCTGGGTTCTAGCAGCATCTTTTGAGGTGTGCTGACTTTGGTTCTGGCAGGGAGTTAAGTTACCATGATCCTGCATGTATCACCTTGACCTTGACTTTGTTGAGACTTGGTTCTAGGTTTTGTTCCTGTGTGTCTGTTTTGATTTTTCTGTCATAGCCCTTAGTCCTCAAGTGTGGTCTTCCTATTTAGGCCTGGTCCTTCCGGGGTTTCAGTGAAAGGCTCAAGGGGTCTGCAGCCCTCTAACTTGCTAGGACGCGAGTTCCTAACTCTATCTCCCCAACACTAGGCAGCTGCTGAAATCTGTGCTCGACTCTTTCAGCCTCCCGGCTCTTGACTTCTGGCCTTCTTGGAGTCTCACCCCACACGTGCACAGGACGCAGCCGTGGGTCCGGGATAAGCCGGTGTGCTCCCCCTCTTCTGGAATTTCCTTACTAACTTCCTAGCTACACTTGCAACCCAGGTGCTAACATCCCACTCCTTGGTCCAAGAAGTTGAGTTCTATTCCCAGTGCACATCGAAGGCTGGAGAATGTCCTCTGGGGAAGCGGATGCCGCCTATTTTACCTCCCTTGCTTCAAAGGCTGTATCCACCCCAGTCTCTCCCTCTTTTGGTTACTCTCCAGGGCCTGCAAATGGCTGTTGTTCATATTTAGTTTGTGATTTATAATTGTTACTGACAGGAAGGTTGGTTTGATATAAGCTTCATCTCTACTGGGACCCAAAAGTCCTCTGAATTAAAACCAACTGAATTAATAGGTAATAAATCCCATGCTAGGAGAAAATCTATTTCATTGCTACTCAGTAAGTATTTGTAGCATTCCTCTTCCACAAGTAAAAGGAAAATTGGCCTTCACATCCTATTTTATAAAGCACTTTATGAAAGGACTCTTTTATTCAATGAAGCCACAAACATTCTCTAAGCACCCATGGGGCCACAACGCTGAACAAGGCTTTGTGAACAAGGGGTGAAGGACAACCCTGGCCCCAGGCCTTGGGAGCGCTGGCTGAGGGGACCGCCAAGAGGGGCTGGCTGAGCTGCTGACACCGGGTGCAGCTTTTCTACCTAGAGACACACGTGGCATGTGATTGTCCCAGTGTCACATCCTCCTACCAAGGCACCTCGTTTGTGTCAGATTCCTGCCACTAGCTAGCACTCAGTGAAGGATGAAATTACTACTGTAATTACAGCAAACAATTTCACAAACTTCAGCCTTTTAACTGTCACTAGTCACAAATTACCATTTCACACCTACCGGGACTCTGCAGAAGGACGGCAAAGCCACTAGGGAGCACTTCTGAGGTTCGGGGTGTGCCTCGTAGCAACAGTGTATTTTAGAAGATGATTCTGGCTCTGGGAGGTAGAAAGGCTTGGACAGGGATGGTAGCATGGGGGTCAAATGGGCCACGGATGGACTTCAAAGAAACCCCTTTTAAGTTATACTCAAATGTCCTGTTCAAATGCCACCCCCCTTTTTTTAGAAAGAGGAATACAGCTTTCATCAGATCCTTAAGATTTCACATCCCCACACGTGCACAGGACGCAGCCGTGGGTCCGGGATAAGCCGGTGTGCTCCCCCTCTTCTGGAATTTCCTTACTAACTTCCTAGCTACACTTGCAACCCAGGTGCTAACATCCCACTCCTTGGTCCAAGAAGTTGAGTTCTATTCCCAGTGCACATCGAAGGCTGGAGAATGTCCTCTGGGGAAGCGGATGCCGCCTATTTTACCTCCCTTGCTTCAAAGGCTGTATCCACCCCAGTCTCTCCCTCTTTTGGTTACTCTCCAGGGCCTGCAAATGGCTGTTGTTCATATTTAGTTTGTGATTTATAATTGTTACTGACAGGAAGGTTGGTTTGATATAAGCTTCATCTCTACTGGGACCCAAAAGTCCTCTGAATTAAAACCAACTGAATTAATAGGTAATAAATCCCATGCTCGGAGAAAATCTATTTCATTGCTACTCAGTAAGTATTTGTAGCATTCCTCTTCCACAAGTAAAAGGAAAATTGGCCTTCACATCCTATTTTATAAAGCAC